GGAAAAATGAAGGGGGGAATCGGAGGGGGAGATGAACCATGAGAGACTGTAGACTCTGAGAAACAAACTGAGGGTTGTAGAGGGGAGGGGGGTGGGGGCATGGGTTAACCTGGTGATGGATATTAAGGAGGGCACGTACTGAATGGAGCACTGGGTGTTATATGCAAACAATGAATCATGGAACACTACATCAAAAAAAAAAATTCTCAGCTTTAAAATAAACAAACAAACAAACAAAAGACTGTTTAGTAAGGTACCAAGTTAATGTTGCACACTTTGGCTTTTTGATATATATAGGATATACTACTTTTATTTCAACTTGTGAGAAATGCTGGCTAATGACGGAAGATACTTCAGACACATACATACGTAGACAGCAGGGTACAAACATACAGACATATATACATACATGTACACATGCATGTGTGGATAGGTAGGTAGGTAGGTAGGTAGATATTAATGGATCAGAATGTTCCCTGGCTTTCATAATCTATATTCTCTTGCTTGAGTATTGCTGTTTCGGTGTTGGGATAGATTTAATCTTGAGCAACTGTGGTTGTGTGGCTTCCAAATCTTATGGCCATATTATTTTTAAGACTGGCTATGACAGAGTAGAAATAGTGCAGCAACTGGAGAAAGCAACTTCTTCAGATAGTATAGGGCCCCATAAATCTTAGAATACCAGAGGCCAGGGGCGCCTGGGTGGCTCAGCTGTTAAGCGTCTGCCTTTGGCTCAGGTTATGATCCCAGGGTCCTGAGATCAAGCCCCACATTGGGTTCCCTACTCGGTGGGAAGCCTGTTTTCTCCCTCTCCCACTCCCCCTGTTTGTGTTCCCTCTCTCGCTGTGTCTCTTCTCTCTCTGTCAAATAAATAAAGTCTTTAAAAAAAAAAAAAGAATTATATCAAAGAAAAGGAAAAATTCAGTGACTAACACAACAAGCACCTATATGCTCGCTCCCCAGTGTCCATATTTTCATTGTAATAATTTTCCGTAAATATTTCAAATATTGAGGAAGTAAAGCCTTCCAAATGCAGTTGAATCGCTATCTTTCCACTCTCATTCTGTTGTGTTTTTATTGAGCAAAGGTTTTTAATTTTAGTGCAATCAGATTTTTCTTTTGTTCTTTTTGTTCATTGTTTAATCCCTTTCTTTACCCTTGGTTCTTTATCTAGAATTTATTTTTGAATGTGATAGGAACTGTGGTTCCATTTTTGTTGTTTTTTTATAAGGACAACAGTGCTATACACTATGCTATTACTGTAGTGCTATTCACTATAGTGAATTAGAGTGACTGAATTTTAGGTGAGGAGAACCTTCTTTTTGTACTACCCCAGATGATTACTAACCAGAATATTTGATTAATATACTAGGCTTTTTTGATTTGTAAGGCCTTTGAGCCAGTTATGTCTTTAAATTTTGGAAATTACAGATTTTTTTTTGCAAGTTTAACTTCAGTTATTTATGTAGCCTTCAATACCACAAGCAGTAAGCTACTAAAAAATTAGCATTGGCATACTCTTTCACCCTTATAAAAGGCTATATGAAATGTGAATTTGGGTGCAACCAGAATATTTATAGTTTGGAAGTAAGGTGGTGGGGTTGTCTCTCAAGCAAAGAAATGGACATTTTTATGGGCAGGCTGACTACCACTGTAGAAACAGCACATTTTCAAGAGGGAAAGGCAGTTAATGGTGTTACGAACAGACTTTTAGTGGCATGTACAGAACTGCAGCAAACCCTGAGTGTACAGTGGGAGGTACAGCTGGGATCGGGCAGACGTATTTTAAGGGTGCATTGAAAGTTTTTCCATTCTTGCGCCTTTAATGGTTCTCCCATTTCTGCCACTCGTTCTGTCTTACCATTTTGATTTTGTTTTTTTGTTTGTCCATTATTTGTGTCTCAAAAACACTGCTATAGATTTTAAACTCTGGGGGTAGTCTGTTTCTTCACAGAATGAATTTTCAGTTACATTCAGTAAATATAATTTCCAAAGGAAATATCAACAAAAATCTGTGTTTGAGACATCAGATTATTAGGCCACTCTAAAACCAGAAGAAAGGAAACTTGAGTAAGTTTCCTGTAGTCAGTTTTAGGTTTACACTGGTATGTCTGGTGCTTAGAATATATGAAAATGAGCTTTAACCTGAAATTAATACAATGTTATGTGTCAGTTATATCTCAATTTTTTAAAGTAAAATGAGCTTTAGAATTTTTTTCTTTTTTTTTTTTAAAGATTTTATTTTATTTATTTACAGAGGGAGAG